GACCAGGGCTTCAGTGACTGAGTGAAGGGATTCCTGATCCAGGAAAGGGCACAACTGACACACAATACAAAGTTTTAGCCACAACTGCCACCTTCTGTCAAGCAGGAATCACAAGTCCAAGAGAATCTCCAGACTGGCCCCGGGTCTATCTGGGGTAGTGCAACCTCATCCAGAAGTAAAGATGTTAAAGAAGTCCCAGAGCCAGAAGCTCCATGCACCCAAAGTCACTGGTCTTACTAGGATTCAGCCAAAGTCTCTTGTCTCCCACAGCCTCCAGGCACACAAAGGACAGTGAATTAGTTCATCTGCTGTGATTCCTGCATGGCCTACTTCACAAGGTGACATAAAGCCAACATGCGGATGGAGCAAGGCAAGACTTTGAAAACAACTGAGAAAAGTGTAAAACTGGTCAATGTTTAGTTTTGAGCTGCAAATTAACTATTATTAGACTAACATGGGTCACCATATGAAATGGTCCAATAAATTTGAGATCTGTTTCCTTACATAGTCAGAGAGAGGAGGAATAGTAGGTAGAAACCAGATATAATTTCCAACAGTGATTCAAGGTCTTCCTAGACATGGAAGGTAGCAGAAAAATAGTAGGAGGCTGGAGCCCAATCTAAATGGTCCCGAAGAAGTTATTGGCTTACCTGAAGCTCCTATAGGTATCAGAACAATTGTTGGATTTAGAGGACCAAGAAATCCTAAGAAAAAATTATAATCACTTTGTGAGAGAAGAGTTGTATATTTGATTGGAATTCTGCCATATATATCTGGAAATGAAGTAGGGCTCCAGCACCAAACTGCTACCATTACTACTGCTATTGTGGTACAATTTTGGTTAAATGTTCTGAAGCAAGAATACAAAGACACTTTTTCTGCTTTTATAGAATAGGAGAAGAAAATCAGCTGTCAAACTCCCTGGCTGAAAATTGTCAGAAACTACCCAGGCACTCAGCACAGCAATATAGCAATCTTTATTGCATACCATAGTGAAGTCACTTAAAGCAGTCAATTGCCTTCTGTCAATATGAAGATGGATACTTGAGAAGGAGGCAATTCTTTTTTTTACCCACTGAAACTTAAATCTGATATTTTCCCCACTATTCTTATTAATGGACACTTTGTCTTGCAATTTTCAGGTACGATGCCAATTAGTTGTTGAATAATTAGCACTTCTGCTTTGATAAATTCTAGTTTCTAATATAATTGCCCCCAAATGCAATACATAACAGAGTTATGGAATGTACATTCAAAGCTTTAAGGTGATTTTCTTGCAAGAAGGAATGTACATAACTGAAGCATATAAATAGAGGAGTCTTGGCCACTAGCTTTATGAGATGGACATTTGGATTCAGAAATACCTTCAAATTGTATATTAGCTATTTCTGGAGAATGCAATCCATTCAGAATAGGGAATCTATAATGTCTCTGGAATTAGAACTATTCACAGTGAACATCTCTTACTGTCACCTCCATCTTCATCCATCTTATCTGGATTCATTTTCAATATATCATGCTGTATTCAAACTATTCAGAGAGCCAAATCATAGATTTGCATGCCATCAGAATACCGAAATATAAATTTGAGAATGTTTTTGCCTGCAGATGATTTTGTATTGCTGGATAAGAATGCAAACAATTTGCAGTGAATGTTAGATGACATGATGCAATGAGGGGTATGGATCTAAAGATATTTTTTTTTAAACGAAAGTAATTATGAAAAGATAATGGTATGAATGATTGCAAGCTATATATATAAATGGTGGAAATTAAATGAAATTTTTATACTCTGGAAAATATTTAGTAAAAATCAAAAAAATGATGGATAAATTTTAAATCATGCAAATTCTGATAGAAATATAATATTCAGTATTGTATCTATTCTAAAAAATAAATATTTGTCAAAAGAAGCAAGAAGGTTGGACATTAGATTGTATTTCTGCTACTTTTCAGTATAGAAGTAAGAGTTGGATACATTAGAAGAAACAAAAATAAATCGAGTATGGTAGAAAAAGGTTGCTGAAAAACTGTGTTAAAACCATGATTTAAGGTAACAAAATAAATGAATACTAGATAAACATAGATTCAGTATAAAAGTGAACAACTATTGGAAAAGAAACATTTTCAACTGGTTTCTTATAAAAGAATGAATGAGGACCGATTCATAGAATAAATAATTGAAAGTATAAGCCGTTCAGAGTCACATACAATTAGAATGGCATATAGGCCTCAGTAAGTAAATGAATAAATATTGAGAAAGTTGTAATTATATGGAATTGAAGAGATCCTCATATAGAGAAAAATGAAGTTCAAAGAACAAAAGGCAATCTTGATGGCGGCAACTGTAAGGGTAGTTTTGCAAGTAGAGAAAGATAACTATGGTTCTGCAACAAAGTATTTACATTTTATTTTCTTTTGTTTTATCTTTCTTTTTAACTGCTTTTGTTTATTGTTTATTATTTTTCCATTGCCCTTATATTTTTTAGAACAAATGTTTCTTTTGTTAATAATTCTTGAACAGCAGTCACAAGTTCAATTTCCTTCAGGTGCATCCTATAATCTCACTTGGATCTATCATATTTATTTTAGAAATGTTCTCATAAACATGAACTTGAGTTCCATTTCTTTCCAGAAAAGCTATCAAAACTGCAATTATTATGGAATAGGATGGATATGTTTAGAAACATTTCTCCCCATCTGTTTTCTTTACTTGATAATATATTCATTGATCATATAGGGAATATAAGTCAAAATTCTCCAAATTTAATCATTTGTTGAAATGATTTAGCAGTGCCCATTCAGAGCCAGTCAGTAACTAAATTGTGTCAGAACACACCACTGAGAGAGACAATTTCTCCTGCTGTTACTTTGATCATTTATACATGTACTGAATAATGGCAGATTTGAGGCAAATATAAAATAATTTATGAGGTACATATCATGTAATACTAATTAGAAATTAGTAGGATTTTTCTACCTTTAGACAAAGTTAAGCATTAAGATAATATTTTTATCCTTATATAATAAGGACCAAAAAGAAAGATGGAATGAGAAGCCAGAATCAAAAGTAGACAGGGCCATACTTCTCTCTCTCTCTCTCTCTCTCTCTCTCTCTCTCTCTCTCTCTCTCTCTCTCTCACACACACACACACACACACACACACACACACACAGAGAGAGAGAGAGAGAGAGAGAGAGAGAGAGAGAAAGACACATATTGCTTTTGAAATCTGTCTAAAGCCCACATAAATAAGGTTCAAAGAAATCTCTGAAGACCATTTATTTTTCTTTCTGTAACCATGAATTTGATGGATCTTTAGCTCAGTGACCTTTACTGTTATTGTGATATATGGTTGTGACAGAAATGAGAAGCCATCCCAAAACTGGAGTCATCAGGCTATGTTGGGACTACATGTTCCACTCAAAAAAGACCAATGATTGAAGAAAGCAGTTCTTGACTTTTATAAGATACATAACAACCTCAGACCTCTGAAGCCTTAGTATTAAAAAAAAAAAGCCGCTGAAGATATTACCTATTGTGGTAACGAAACATTCGGAAATCAACTCACAATCTCAGAGAACGAACCTTCACCCTTATCCTTAGTATTATATTATATCTATCTGTTTAATAAGATTTCTACAATAACTTCTATAAGTAAAGGAGTCTCTCATTGATGCCAAAATAAAAATTAAGAGAACTATATTTAGGCTGTAGTTTAATAATTTCTTGCAGCCATATGCATTTTTTTTAAAGTGCATATGGTAAAGTACCACCACCTGTTTTTAAACTACTAACAAAGTGACATAGCAGATTGCCAGTGGTATGAAGTATACTAGTACTATCATGAAAATATAAAGATTTACACAGTTCAAAACAACATCTAGGTAAAACTGACTATCCATTTTATTATTATGACACCACAAATTGACATTTTTTGTTTTGATTTCTATTCATTCATGGTTTGTATCATATTTTGCGATCCTTTAATTTAATTATATATATGGCATTCTATGGCCTAGTTTTCCTTATTTTAGAAACCTGTAAATTACTCTTAGAATTGTTCTTTCTTTCCCAGCTTTCTAGAGCTAAGCATGAATTAGCAAATGTAGAATCAATCACCTGTTTGGGAAGAAATACATTTCTTATTTCAGAAACTAATGAACCTGTATACTACTATTAGCAGGAAAGGTAATTTATCTGTGATTATTGTTGTGTATGTTATTGTTTTTATTTTATTGCAGAACTTTATTTTCTGCAGCAAAAAGTTACTAAACTATTTTTATCTTTCAAATATGCCAATTGACTATTACACACATTCAGAGATTATTTAGGACAATGCAAAATAATATTATTTGGTTTTCTAAGTGAGGAGTCCCCAACCCCCAGGCCGCAGCCCACTACTGAGCCATGGCCTCTTAGAAACCTGGCTGGGGGGGGGGCGAGCAAGTGTGAATGAAGCTCCCCTCTCACAAGTTAGGGACCTTTGTGTGAGAGTGCAAGCGCTTCTGCTCATACAAATGAAGCTGTGCATGCGCACGTGTGCCTGCCACTTACATGCCCCCCCTGCACCAGGCTGGATTGCCAATCTAAAAAGGTTGGGGACCAATGTTCTAAGCCAGGGGTCCCCAACCTGTGGGCCGCAGCCCACTACTGGGCTGTAGCCTACTGGCCACCAGGCCATGGAACAAGCTGGCCAATGGGCTCATGTGTGTTTACGCACCTAACCCCACTCATGCTAGCACCGTGAAAACAGGGTGCCGCGCTGCAAAAACAGGGCATCGTGCGGCAAAAACGGGGCAGTGCTAGCATTGCGCGTTCTTGCGGCCGTTTGTGTGTGTGCGCATGTGCGTAAAATGCTTTCCTCCGGTACACCAACTGAGAAAGGTTGAAGATCTCTGTTCTAAGCAATATGATTTTGTTTAACAGTTCTTTAGAATTCATTTCTATGTAAACCATCAGTAAACATTGTTCCAGATATAAAAGGAAAATCATCTACCTTAATTGTGCTAGTGTGAGCTCCAGGATATTCTTTTTCTTCCAGGGTTGACCAGCGCTGTATAAATTTTGACACCAAAGGATCATCATAGTCCACTATTTGAAATCCTGACACATTAGCTCCTCCAAACTGTATTTTTGATAAATCTCCATCAGTAAATCCCTGGACATGGAAAATATAAATTTCAGTTGTACAATAGTTCAATATTTCATCTGTTTTATGGATATTTTGCATTTGTACGCAGCCTAGAATCCATAGGACTTGGATATTTAAATTGAATAAAAAGAGAATACAAAATATAAACTTCAGTCATGCACTTTCACCAGAGCTCCTACAATCTATCAGCTAGAAAGATTTTTAGGCCCTGTATTTTGATGTAGAACTTCCAAGTGATATAGATTAAATATAGGGAATTCTCATCTTATGATCATAACTGGGACTGTAAATTCTATTGTTAAGCAATGTTGCCATTAAATGAGTCACACCAGATTTTTGTGACCTTTTTTGCTGTGGTCATTAAGAAAATCCAGCTTTCCCCATTGACTTTGCTTGTCAGAAGCTTGATAGAAGGTCACAAATGGAGATTATGTAACTGGTTGCCAAGCATTCAAACTTTAATCATGTGAACCTGGGGATACTCCAACAGGCATAAGTCACCACTGTAATTTTGAATAATCATAAAAGAAATGGTCGTAAATTGACAACACCTGTACTCCAAAATTTCAAATCCTGGAATTTAAACTCCACTTTTCCATAGGCTTTGTTATAAATAGACACACACATACATGGGCACACACAGACACACAGACACACACACAGACACACACACACATTTGCATATTGGTGTATTATATATGAATTGATTTTACTTCTTCCTTGTAGATGAGAGTACTTTCATGTTTTTAAAAACTTTTTTCAGATAAGCAGCCTTATATACTTTACAATGTTGTTATATTTTGTGTGTTAGTTTGGACAGCCTCAAAGTAAGTTTTTACAGGAGGAAGGCAAAGGGAGGACAAATGACAGAGCACTGCAATACTGTAATGCAAATTCATGTACTTAAGTGTGATGTCACGATGCGGGCATGAAAGGACAGAATTTGCATTGTGACATCTTGATGCTACATAGAATCTTTAACACAGCATGGACACAACTAACTGCACCTCCCGATTGGCAACAAGTAAAGAAAGGGAGGAAATGAAAATACATGCAGTATCAAGGCATCTCACTCTTGAGACAGGTAGAGAAAAAGTACACCAAAATAATAGAAATGAAATTAAGACCAGTTATAGAACCACTAGCAGAAGAGCAGATGGGTTTTAGAAAAAATAGAAACTGCACAGATGCACTTTTTGTGCTTAAACAACTAATAGAAAAGAAGATGGAATACAGTAAGAATCTCTTTGTCACATTTGTAGATTGAGAGAAAGCATTTGATAAGAGTTGATAAGAAATTATTATAGCAAACATTGATCCCATACAGAGTATGTGAACATCTTATTAGGGTATGAAAAACTTATAGAGTGATTGCAGAGGTGTAGTCAAAACAAACCAAGGAACATCGGAACCCTTCATAGTAACATACAGAATAAAACAGGGATGTGTACTACAGTATCATCACTATTATTTATCACCTACATTGACAGCATAAGTGAAGAAGCCAAACCCAAGAATGGAAATAATATCAACTACTCTTTGCAGATAATCAGGCAAGTACAGCTAAGAAGCTGCAATAATATCTTATGGCCATGAACCAAGAATGCAAGAAAAATAATATGAGAATCAGAAAAGAGAAAACAGAAGTAATGGCAATTGGAAGGAAAAAAAGCATACCCTAAACATAGCAATAAAAGGAATAAGCATAAAACAAGTATCAAAGTTCAACAACGTTCACCAAAGATGGCAAAAAGGGATGAAGATATTAACATATGATGCAGTAAGGCAAATCAAGTATTAGAACAGCATGCTCCACTCCTACAACATAAGGCAATATGATCAGTACAAAGAAGCATCTCATACAAAGCATACTTATCCCCACCCTAAGTTACCAGTGCCAAACATGGACATTTACAATAAAACATAAACAAAAGTTAGTCATCATGGAAATGAGATGTTTGAGGAAAGCAGCTGGAGTGACCAGAAGAGATAAAATCAGAAATGAGACCATAAGAGAAAGAATTGGCATAGAACCAATATTAAATTACATACAGAAACAGAAAATAAAGTGGTTTGCTCATCTGGAGAGGATGTTGTGGGATTTCATACCATACAAGCACATACAAAAAGAGGAGAAGGTCAAAGAGCACAAGCCAAACCCAGAAGATGGAGAGACAACATCAAAGATATAGTACAACGACATCAATTAACAAAGCTCAAGAAATAGAAAGAAAACTGAATTATATGAAGCAAAGACATTTTGAGTTTGCAAATAAACCAGGAAGATGGTTGGCATATAAACTAAGAAAGGAAAGGGAAAAAAGAATGATTGAGAAAATCTGTGAAGACAACAATGTAATAACAGACAATGAGGTTATTAAAAAGTCTTTTCATTGTTTCTATTTCAATTTGTATAAAAAGCAGGAATTCGATATGTCTAAAATAGATGAATATTTGTTAAGACAACAGTTGCCTAAACTTTCACAAACTCAGAGACAACTTATGAATGACCCAGTAACTGTCTTTGAAATATCAGAAGCTATTAAAAAAACAAAATCAGGTAAAGCTCCAGATCCAAATGGCCTTACAAGCCAATATTATAGATGCTTCAAAGAGGAACTTCTTCAGCCACTAGAGGATATAATGAACGATATATTATGAGGGGAAAGATATTTCAAACATGGAAAGAAGCCAATATTGTGTTATTACCAAAGAAAGGTCAAGATGCTACAAAGGTAAAGAATTACAGACCAATTTCATTATTAAAAAAGGACTATAAACTCTTTGCCGCAGTTTTGGCAGAAAGATTAAACAAGATTTTATAGGTATATATCCATGAAGACCAATCTGGCATTCTGCCCAAAAAACAGTTAAGGGATAATGTGAGGACTGTTTTGAATATTATTGAATATTTACAATATCATAATGAGAAACAGGGTTTACCAGATTTGAAACTGTATTTTAATGCTTGCTGTTTGATCTGGCTAAAAGAGTGGGTGACCCTCCAGAATAAGAGGCTACTTGATTTAGAAGGTCATGAACTAAGATTTGGATGGCATGGTTATTTATGGTATGACAAGGGTAAAGTAAATGTTGATTTTAACAATCACTTTGTTAGACGTATAGACGGAATAAATATAAAACAAGGTTTTCTACAAGGATGCCGCTTTGGGTGTGCCCCCAGGAAGTTTTTTTTTAAGAAAAGAAATGGTGGTGAAGTTGGATTGGTGGACTTATGATAAAATAATATCCTAGAATTAGAGCTAGAATTAGGACATATCTGCCACAGGTTTACATATTTACAACTGAAAGAAAGATTTAAATTAGACAAAAAGACCTATGGGTTTGATTCTGTTAAAAATGAATTGAAAATCCTACTGTGTAGTAGTGATGAACATATCATTGCTAAGGTCTATAAAATGTTATTGAATTTGAATTTGGAAAGTGAATATGTAAAGCATTGTATGATTCAGTGGACAAGGAACTTTGGATACAATGCAAAGCTTGAACAATGGGAGAATATGTGGATGAAAGGTTTAAAATTTACATTAAATTATAATTTAAATGTAAATTTTTATAAGATGATGTATTTATCACCAGATAAGTTATCAAGAATGTATAAAAGTATTTCAAATGAATGCAGGAAATGCAAATGTAAAGAATTGACTTTTTATCATTTATGATGGACATGTGATAAAGCAAAGAAATACTGGAGTAGGATTCATATTCTAAGACAGATGATTCTTAAAGTGAATATAAAGATGCTTTTCTTTTGGGTTTAATGGAAAAAGACTTGGGGAAAAAATTGGAACTTGATGTTATATATGTTGATGGCAGCAATATTACTCTATACACAGAAATGTAAGGATACTTCAATCCCCACAATGGATGAATGGCTGCAAAAGCTGATGGAGTTAGCAGAGATGGATAAATTGGCTGCTTTGATAAAAGAAAAAAAACACACATACTTTTGTTTCTACTAGGAAACCACTCTGGATTTTATGCTTGAGGTGGAAAAAAATGAAATTTTGATTTTGGTTGTACTGATTAGATAGATCTGTTATTATAGAAATAGCTAGTTTATACTAATATGTAAAAGTAAAAAATTGAGGTCCGATGTTACTTCTTATTCTACTGCACCAAAGGGAGGTCGGAAGTCAATGCCTTTTCTTTCTTTTTCTCTTCTTCTCTACATTTTTTTCTTCCCTTTTCCCTCCTCTATTTTTCTTATTATTTGCTTTTGTATTTTTGTGTTTTATATTATAAACCAGGGGTGTCAAACTGCCGGCCCATGGGCCAGACGCGTCACATGGAAGCTGCGCCCACTCCATTGCCAGCAATGGCAAAACCGGCCCGATACGTTGAGCGACGTCACGTGCTGTCGTGAGTTTGACATGCCTGTTATAAACTAATAAAAAGAAAAAAAGAATGGTTGAGGCCGCCAGAAAAGCAACTTGTATCTCCCTCGACACTTGAAGCAGTAAAGGAGAAAATAGAGAAGAAGACATTATAATGTACATGCCATAATGTACATTCCTAACACACTGGTTAGGAATGGACTTCTTAATGTGTGTTAAAAAAGATTTGTGTGCTTGGCGACCACTGTACATTTATGACAGTTACACTGTCCTGTGAGCACGTGATCACCATTTGTAACCTTCCCATCTGACTTCCAACAAGCAAAGTCAATGGGAGGGGAAAAGGAAGGTTGCACATTAAAGTCACTTGATATTTCACTTAACAACTATGATGATTCACTTAGGATTTAGGATTTATTTCATTTATACCCCGCCCTTCTCCCGGAGGACTCAGGGCGGCTTACAGCCAGTTAAAACAATTACACAAAATACAAATCTAAGATAAATTAAAAATAAATATTCGAATCGGCCGCACTACTAAAATTTAATTAAAACCAATTTAAAATTACCCCTAGGCCAGTCCTGCCTGCTGAAACAGCNAGGCCACAGGCAGCCAGTGCAGCTCGCGCAGCAGCGGCGTTACATGGGAGCGACGAGTCACTCCCATCACCGCCCGCGCGGCCGCATTCTGGACTAACTGGAGCCTCCGAGTGCTCCTCAAGGGGAGCCCCATGTAGAGAGCATTACAGTAGTCCAGGCGGGAGGTAACAAGAGCATGGGTGACTGTGCGCAAAGCATCAAAAAAGGTAATAAAATAAGATGCAGTCATGTGATGCCTCACTTAACAACCACACCACTTAATAATGAATTTTCCAGTTCTTAGTTTGTCATAAATGAACAACTACCTGTATCAATAATATGGAGCCATTTGTTGCCTTGGCTTATTAGCCACAATTTGAATTAATCATGATTTATATATAAAGCATGATTACTATTTAAATAAATGGTTTTGTTCTGTTGTTTATATCAGAAGAAAAAGGAAGATACTGTCTCTAAATACTGCACACTATGATCAAATTTCTGAAAACTGTTTCAATGCTTTTTTCTTACAGGTACACCATAATTTAAATTTTTACATAGAATTTTATTTAATTTGAAATAATGTTTTCTATTATTACTCAGAGAATATTCATATCATACAGTTTTATATGTAATTTGTATTTTATCATACAGTTTGTAATATTTTATCATACAGTTTGTAATATTAACAGCCAGCTCATAGAACAGCTAAATACACACACACACACACACACACACACACCCTTGCAGACAACACAATGTGTATATGTCATATTTGAGGCCAACAAAAATTGATTTATTCCCTATTTTCTCATATATGGTAATCATATGGAGGATAGTAACAATATAGGGCTACAGTGAATGGCAGCTAAGCATAGTTGTGTAATCAAAGGTAGGAGGATATAATCAGAACTAAAAAAGCTGATGATTTGATATGATAATGTAAGAACCAAGAATAAATACTTCCAATATTCTTTGTTTTTTTTCAGAGAGCAACAGACCTTTCATTAAATATTGTATACAAAATCATGCATAAAATATACTTTAACCTTGGAAATATTACATGTTCAGGCAAGTATTTAACTTACCAAATTTGCAATGATGTAGTGATATCCTTTTACATGTTTACCAATAGTAATAACCTAGAAGGGAATCAAATAACTGATTTGCTTGGGGAAAAGTTACAGAGACAATAAAACATATTTCACAAATTACAATAACAGAATGATTATATTGAAAAAATAAATGGCAATATACCTTACTTTATGTTGATGAATTCATTGTAGGTTAAAATATGGATTTTATTTTTAATTGTCATGAAAATGGTTTTCAGTCCAAAAGCTCTAAAATATTTCATTTTTATATTCATTTTCATTCTCAAAGCTTGCCAACAATAAACTAGCATGTTCCATTCTCCTCCCACTGAGCAAGAAATAGCAATATTTTTACCAGCAACAGAATTTAGACCCTATTGCCTGTACATGTGATGCCTTTAAGATTGTTTTAGTTGACGCTATATATATGGTTTAATGTTTTGATTTTTTTTACAGAGGGTATTTTTATACACTGTCCACTAGAGTTGGACAGCAATAATAAATGTGAGTAAATAAAATAAAATAAAACTGCCTCATTCCCTATGTTGAGTGGTGAGACAACCTTTAGATCCCATGACTAGCTGAGATTACTACATAGAACTATGGAGGATGGCACAGCTGTCTATTAGGTGACCAAGTAACTCTGCAACTTCTGATTGCTGGCCTAGCATACATGGTGCTATTCAAATACAAGACATAGGACAGTCATTTCTATATTCTAAATATGTCTGAACATATTTATTTAATGGACAACTAAAAACACAATGGAGCTAAAGCTGTTAAGTGTAGCTGGGAATCTATGGAACATTGGCAATTCCCTTGGTATTGTCTATTGCTGCCCAGTGTCCATTAGAGTTGGGAAGCTAATAAATTTGAATAAATAAATGTGCACTTTGTGTGCAAACAAAAATGCCATCCATTTTATTAGGCAGACTCCAGATCCAAGTTCATAAACATGGTTTATCTGGAATTGTTTTAACAGTTACATTTCTATTTGATGGAACAGAAATAACCTATTGTCAGATAGCAAATACAAATAGTCCTTGTTGAGCAACTGCAATTAGTTTCAGTGAAATGATTACTAAGTGTCCTGGTCACTAAGTAAACTGAGAGAAAGAGAAAAAGAGGGAGAGGGAGAGGGAGGGAGGGAGGGAGAGAGAGAGAGAGAGAGAGAGAGAGAGAGAGAGAGAGAGAGAGAGAGAGAGAGAGAGATGCTGTAAAGACCATTGGTTACTGCTGCCTCATTCAGATAAAATTATCTCATGCAGCAACACCAGTATTACTCTCACTCCAGCATGCATTGTTCTCAGCTGCAGAAATATGGATATAAGTGTGCACATTGATTGCTAAACAAGGATTGTAAAGTTTAGCAACTACCTGTAATGTTGACGTTTCAAATAATAGTTTACCAATCAAGGGACATGAATACCCAATGCCAGACAAATTAATTTCTCTCTTCAAAGTACTAATTGAACTGTAATAACTTATATAACAGTTTGCTGCCCATTTATTTGTCTAATATTACATCGTCACTCTAATAGTAGGACTGGTATTGTAATGCAACAGCACAGTTAATATATACTGGTTACCACATAAATAGAGAAATTATTAATAAATATAATAATTTGTTTATCAATGCTACTAAATAAGCACATAATGTTGATTACCAACAATAATTTCACAGTTGCTTTCAAATATATTGAAAAAGAAAGAGTAGCAAACCTGATCTACAATGTCATTGACTTTATCCCGTTCACAGTCAAGAATTACTCGTCTTTCCTTTTTTATCTCCAAATCTTGAAACAATGAACGATACGTTTCATCTTTTCTATCATTGTTAATATTCCCCACATTTATAGCAGTCACTTGCCATTTCTTTTCAGCTGCAGTGTCTAGTACAGCTTGTAATGTTGACAGTCCTGATGATATAGAAAAATTCAGTATTCACTTAAACTTACATAATCTGAAATGTGTATATACAGTATATTACAATAACCCTTCAACCTAAGCAAATTAGCTTCACCACCATTTCTTTTCTTTAAAAAAAGATGAAGTCATGACCATTAATTATTTGGACCTCTAATGATTTCTGTGCAAGGATGTAACAACTCCTTAACTACATCCATTTGTTTTCCTTAGAGGTTCCTTTTGGAATAGATATTACTATTTTGGGAAATAATATTTTTTTGCAATTGGAAAGAGGAAATAATATGATAAATCAATAACTAAATGCCTTTGAATTGTTTGTTTTTCCTGTGTGCTGGTAATGCACAAAATAAAGCTCTTCTCTAATGGAAGCCAATACTGCATGTATACCTGTTATTTATCAGATTTGTATACAGCAAAATTCAGAATAGATTCACATGGGACACTTCAAAAATACAAGAAAAACAATACAAATTAAAATGCTGATAGTAAAGATCAATATAAAATTAAATAGAATAAAATAATACAAGCAAACAAAACAATAGATGACATTAATCAGCTCATTCCAAATATCTTCTGAAAAAACTTTGTCTTCGCCTGTTTCCGGAAAGTAACCCAGGGGTTCCCAACCGGAGGTGCAAGAAGATATTCCAGGGGCTGCAAAAACTTGGGTTTTCAAAGTTATAGTGTATGTGCATAATTTGTTGTCATTATTTTGAACTTTTGTAAGGGATGCAAGGATATATCAGAAGTGTTCTAGGGGTGCAGGATATAGAAAAGGTTGGGAGCTGCTGGTCTAACCAATCCTTGAGTGGAAGATTGTTTGACAAAATAGGCAACAGAATTAAGAAGCAGCACCTGTGTGTCTTCTGCCCCCTTCATCTCACAAAAGTGGGGATCCAAAAAGAGATCCACCTAGGATTCTTTTATTGGAGAGGTGAGATTTCTATTGGAGAAGGTGGCCATCTAAGCATCAAATCCTAAAGGGATTTTGGTAATCAGTGCAAGGCTTAGAACACAGGTTTAATGTGCTCATATGATGAATGCCCCCCCAATACATGTTGCATTCTGCTTCCAGGTAGTTTTCAAGGAAAATCCCTTGTCATATACTAATTGCAATATAGTGATAAAGGTGTGTCTTACTACTATGAGGTACTACCGCTCCATGTACAGTTGTGCAACAAATGCACAACTGAAATCCCTCCTGACCATAGTTTCTATTGGCCCATCCATCAGTAGCCATGAGTTCAAGATAACTCCCAAATGTTCTGGACCCTTAAAGGTAATGCCTTCCTTTTGAGAGATTTATTTGGTACTGATAGAGAAATGCTAGAAACAAACAAAAAGCCCAACTTGCTTAGCTTCAACTTCAGTTTCTTTCATCCCATATAGATCCCAACATATTCAGACAATGGAACATGACTTCAACATTCCCAGTTGGGCTAGAATGGCATTACTGCTAGTCTTCGACTTAGGACCACAATCAAGCCCAAGATTTCTGTTGCTAAGTGAGACATTTGTTAAGTGAGTTTTGCCCCATTTTATGACATTTCTTGCCATAGTTGTTAAGTGAAACACTGCAGTTGTTAATTCAATAACATGGTTGTTAACTGAATCTGGCTTCCCTGCTGACTTTGTCAGAAAAAGGATCACATGACCCCAGGGCACTGCAACTGTCATAAATATGAGCTGGTTGCCAAGTGGCCACATTTCGATCACATTACCATGGGGATGCTGCAATGGTTGTAAGTGTAAAAAACAGTCATAAGTCTCTTTTTTCAGTGCCTTTGTAATTTTGAATGGTCATTAAATAATAGTTGTAAGTCAAGGACTACCTTATTCAGCTGTGTATTATCTAAATACTAATGATATATCATAAATAAATGACCTAGAAGCTTCATATAAATGTTAACAAGCAGGGTAGAGAGGACTGAACTCTATACACATGGCCACTGAGCAGACTTTTTCTCCTTCACTTCTACCAGCTGCAATGGATACTGAGACAAGAACAGAATCACTGAAGAACAATGTCTCCAATTTCCAACTCTCAAGTCCAAAAGGCTAATACTCTCAAAAGCCACCAAAAAATCTTACTCCAATCCAGGCCACAACAAAAATAGTCAATTGTTATCTGACAAAGTAGTTTGTAATTATAATGCTCAGGATTAAATACTGACCAAAACAGTCCAGATAATCCAATTCCTCTAGTCAGGGTTCCCCAACCCCCGGTCTGTGGACCAGTACCGAGCCGCGGCATGCCAGCAAGCAGTCCGCACAAACAAGCAAAGCCCCATCCGCGAGATGCAGGCAGCACACAAAACCACGCACACTCTGGTCCATGGAAAAACCTTTTTCCACAGAACCGGTCCCTGGTGCCCAAAAGGTTGGGGACCTCTGCTCTAGGTTGCTTTGAAGCTAATTCCCCACCAACCTCTCAACAACTTTCCCCAAAAGGAGAGGATGGAGATCAGACAATAGTTGTCAAGAACTATAAGATTCAAAACAGCCTCTTTTGAAGGAAGCACATTAAGTCTTTTCCAGGACCATAAGCAACACCCTCTCCTTCAAAGAGGCATTGATCACCTTCCATATCCAGTTAATTATGCTTTTTCCACTCGCATCTCACCAGAGAACATGTAGCAAAAATAATACTTGAAAGCACTCTAATCATACTATTCCTATAAAGACAATATACCTAACATTTTAAAAGAAAGTTAATGAAAATCCAGTTTCAGAAACTGAAACTTTGGAAAGCCACTGATAGTGCAGTCAATAGAAAGCCAAATTGTTGAATGACCTAACTCAATTTCTGATGGTTGTTATTTTGTTTTTGATTGCTATCTATATAGTTACATAAAAGAAACAGATTAATTTTGATTTTCTGGCTCAGAGCCACTTTTTGTTAGAAGGGTAGCTTTACAAAATTGATTAATAAATAAAATAAAAATTAGTACAAGGTCCTTCATGCTGTCCCTTGACATCTTATTCTAGTATTCAGAGGTTACAGGGCACCATCCACTACACAACTGGTTACTTCAGAGTACAGAAAACAGTTTGCTAATGTATTTTGAACTGCTACAGCTTTATGAGGTGGCTGTAATTGAGTCAGTTGATGTAACTGGGATATTGTTTTCAGAGTGCTAGACTATTTGCATGATCACAATTTGCAGCTGACACAGGGTATTCTGAAAGGAGAATTGCAAATGAATGAGTGCCAAACTGTTGGTACCATGGTTATGAAGCCATTATCTGCCAATTGTGATAACAAGTAGATTCTAAAATCTTTCACAATAACACAATTTCTGCATCATTTTCTTTATTTCAGTTGATTCCATGTAGACTTACATAAACTTAAAACCTCTGAATTTTTTTGTGCTACTTGTTCCTATCTCTAAAGTGGACAATAATTGTTCAAAATAAACCCAGATAAGTTATCGGTTGCTGGTTGATTTTCCTTACCCTAAATAAACAAATAAACTTGAATGTTATATATATTCAATTAGTTGATCTTACAATTTTAACAAAACACTTATTATAAGTTATCAATACAAAAATGGAATAAATATATACAAAAAAGACTATTGTTTCAGGTTTAATCTCTTTAGCTCTTCAGCAATTTACAATAATTATCTTTTCCACCCCTCAACATTCTTGGTGAAATATTAAAGGAAATATTATATAATCATTAGTATGGAGGCTTTGGTGCTCTTTGAGCTTGGCTGTTTACTTGCAAACATTTAATTACCAGGCTAGTGAAATCATCAATAATGCAGTCAACCTAGGTAACCCACTGAACTCACTACCACACAACCAACACTAGCTATGAAAAGGATAATATTACCATACATCAAAAACATCTCAGAAAAAAACAACAGATTATTACATAGCATTAGTACATGAACCAAGTAACACTCTCCAAAACATCTTAAGTAAACAACAATAAAAAACAAAAACCCCAATAGCCCAACAAGAAAAAAAGAATAAACTACAATATATATATATATATATATATATATATATATATATATATATATATATATATATATATATATATATATATATATATATATATATATATATATATATATATATATATATATATATATATATGTGCAGGTCTTGGTGTATTCGGGTCTTTTCCCGTGTAAGATTGAGAGTATCTTGGCGGCGTTTCGACGAGGTCCCACTCGTCATCTTCAGGCTGGGGTCTTCGGCTTCGTGCCTGTGCGAGCAAAGTGTGATCGGAGCTGCCGTCTCTCTATAAATACTGGTGGGGGTGTGTGGAGTGCTGGCTTAGTTGCTGTAGGTGGATTGGTTGGCTGTGTGGGAGCTATTATTTGCGGATTGTTTGGCTGTTTCATAACATCCTGAGTAGTTGAGGTAATCAGTCATCATAGATGCATAGAGATAAATCACATTTATACCCCATTCAAAAGAGAAAATAAAAAGGTAGACTTTGCATATATAGCAGCTGCCATCTAAGCAGCCTATGCCCAAATATCATATTCTATAATTCTACGAGTGAGACAAAATTGTTACATGAAATCTATTAAAATTGTAATATACATTGTTTTGACAGGGGAGACTATCCCATCCCTTTTCTTTGGGATTCAGCAGTTGAAGATCCTATCATGTCTGAGGCTGCCTCCTTCAATGTCCCAAAAAGGATGAGAAAGAAAAGAATAGAGTACTAAGGAAGTTGAGAGGCAGAGCCAAAGTGACACACTATACCAATGGGAAAAAAGAACTATTGCTTGAAAGAAGATTATGCTTGCCTACTGCTAATTATTCCCTTCTCCCTGAGAATGACTCATCCTGACTATATGAAGTATTCTCATATTTCTCAGTGAAAAAGATCATTCAAACCAACTCATCACAGAATAAGTTGGAATCTCAATAAATCAGAACAGGAAAAAAAAGTTGATAGGAATATAGTAGATATGACTGTAGTAAATTCTGCAATCAAGTTTTGGAATCTCACAGGCTAAATTGG